TCTTCCCTACTGAAACTACTTTCGCTTTTGCTTCTAGTAGCTCCATCTTTTTCCGAACGAACTATTCCGGATAGCCATTTTATTGTAACGCTTCTTCTTTCCCTCTGCTCTCTGTCAATGACAAGTGTTGTACTGCTGCTAGCTGCCCTATGAGACTGCGACTGGCTAAGTTCTCAGTCACTCGCCCAGCCAACCGAAGGATTACAAAAGGCCAGAACTCGGTAGACAGAGAGAGTGTATCCCCACAGGATAGGTCAACTCTATTTATTGGTAACCGAAACATGCGAATTTAGGAGGCCAGGGTCGCTGATTATTCCGCGTCTGGTTTTCAACCAGTGTGAGTGAGTTCCACTCCACGGGTTAATCATATTGACGGAATAGTTCGATTCCATTGACTCGGGCTGGTATTTGCTGGCCGGTCAATTCTCACTCGATTCCAAAATTCAGCTCCGCTTGCCTCTCTAGTACATTTCTATCGAATATGCTTCGTACAAACTGTGTCTCATCCGGCAGCATGTCCTCGCTACACATCCTGTTTGCTCATTCGGGTAGGCACTGAACAAGTTTTCGTTTCTGGCTGAGCGCAACGAAGCTGACAAAATGAGTACACTGCCCGTTCCACGTGGTCTTTCTATGGACACTGCGCTGGATAGACCCGTCAGATCTTCGGCTAATCTGAACGCCTAAGTACAACATGGAGTTGTTGCACTCAGATTGAACGGTGAACTTTATGTTTTCTTGGGCTGAGTTAACTTGCCTCACTAGATATTCCGTGCAAAAATCACTATCTGAGATGCGGAACATATCGTCCACGTACCGTCCGTAGTAGAATAAGTTGTTGATAACCGTTCAGATAGGTGTTTTCTAACTTATAAATACGTCTACTAACAGCGGTCCTAACAGAGAGTTCATTGCGACTCTGTCCTTCTGTCTGTACGTCTTCCCGTGGAACAGGAATTGTGTGTTCCTGGTACACATCAGAAGCAGCTGTTTAAATCGCCCGTTCTAGGGGCCGACATCAACATGGCGCAGTGGAACAGCATCGCATAGATATTTTATCGTCCCCTCAAGCGTAACATAGGTCTAGAGAAAACGCAGTGCCGACCCTGAATCAACAATTTAAGGACAGAATTCTAAGGTCAAGTACTTCTCTCTGTGTATACTCTTTCTCTTGTTCGTGTCTATCAAGATATATTGGAAGAACTACCAGGAGACGGTCTGAGAGAGCCAGGGAACACTGTCCAGCTTGGCTGTATAGCGGCGTGACTAGATCAGCTGCAAGCGCAGTGTCTGAACACCTGGTCGATTCGAACTACCAGGTCGGAACGCATGAGATATTCCAGCTCGTGTACCGCGTACCCAGATACCATACAAGAGCGGTGAGATGTCATCTACTGGCGGTGGCCGAGGCAATCGCCATAAGGCTTCATAATCTTGACCTATGTGCGCACAAGATATTTGTCCAGGCATTCACTCTACCTTGGTCCCCTGTAATACTGACACAGTGTGGACAACGCTACACACACACACCCAAGCACACTCTTGATCGCCGTGGGGCTAATCACCTAGCTTGGCCACTCAGACCATCTGGGTTTTGAACCTGTACCCTTATCTGATGTCAACATTCAGGTCATTCATTTGTGGTGAGGAATCACTGAAAACGAGCTTCTTCGCTAACATTTGTTCTTATGTCTACTCCCTGAATGTTTTATCAGTTAAACCATTTTGATTTTTTAGTCGAAACTAATTATAGTTTCGCACGGAGTCTGGTGGGGAATTTCACGAAATCGTGTTAATGAAAACTGTTTTCTCTTCTTGAAGCCGCCTGTGAGAACACAGATGGAACTTCATAACTTTGGCTGCAACTCCAAGCCAAGGTGCTATGCAAATATTTGTAGCTCGACCAACGCGGTGTTCGGGGTTACACTTTCCTAACTACGACTGTTTGGAAACCGCTCAGAAACTGGCTTATATCCACCAAGTGACAGCTTACTAATGTCGTTTTCAGTATTACGAGCTTTTTGAAGTGTATTAACTATTCGCTAAGATAAGGGATGACACCACGATGCAGGGGCTGTCCTGAGCCGTGGGATCTAATGTGGCAGTAGCCAGTGTGATTAATGGTATCAGGATGCAACCAACTTGTAACATTACTATATTTACATTCATAAATTCTATTCGCTGCAAGATTCTCTTGAGATCGTCAATTTTCCCGGGAGATAATTGTATGTTGCTGGACGGATCAGTGGAATTTGTGCCCTGTTCACAGGACAACGCTTGAGTCCTACTTGCGGGTCAGGACAACGCTTCTTCTTTCCAAAACACTTCTTTGGAAGCATTTCTGATTTTGTGGCCGCTTTCATCCAAAGGCGATCTTCGCACATCTCCTCGAAGGTAAGTCAAATCATCAACAGAATATGGCAACGTTGGGGACTGGGATTGAATCACCTAAACAAAGGGTAAAACAGCTTCTGAAGGCAGGAAGACTCTGTGGTGAGTAGGATAAAGCAACATCCTGATGATAACAGCAGCGGCCGAATTTGAAGGCCGTGTCGGCACCAGTATGAATCAGTGCCACTATGCAGGTCACTGCAGTATTACAGAAGAGCCCCAACGCTCCTGGTCAGACGGTCCTCCCGAATGAGTGGCATTCCTTTCATCCCGACCTCAGCATCAGCAGCTTCGTGGTTCAACTGTGTTGCCTTAATGTAAATTTGGTCCCATACATTCGCGACTTGACTTACTCGAAGTTCGCTAAGTCTGCTGAAGGGCCCTTCGGCGTCGGCGTACATGCATGAAAGCTTCTGGGATTTCATTAATGCATCGGAGATTATGCAATCCAGGCGTGAAATTTCGCCGACTAGTGTGTGTTCAGCGACTACTCGTTTTTTCAGTGCGTAATTGGTGACTGGTTCGGTTTCAGGTAACCCCAAACCTAATCTTCCATGTGCATCGTAAGGAGCATCGTCACACTTCGGCAGGTCGTATTGGTTCATCAGACACTGTTCGTGCAATGTTCTAGTATAACTCCATTGCGCTCGGTTCTTTGGTAGACATGTCATCTCTCTACCTTCAGCCGAAACTCAGATGCAGCTTGCAATGTAACATACGCCAACATTCAGTAGTCATGTCACCATTTGTTTTGACTGAAGGACTACATTATACCTTGGCCACATCCTTTCTAGGTTCGTTGATATGCACATCTTTGACACCGATTTCGCCACTACGTCACTCAAGGAGAGTGCTTCACGAACGTAACACCATTGTTCCTTATCATGAGTTATCATTTCATGCTCATCGCATATCTCAGTCTCAGGAACACCGTGGACAACGGGGGTTTGGCTAGAATTTCCTTATGGTGCTCTTCTAAACTGCAGTTACTTCTATAACACTCTCTTTATGTGATATCAGGAATGGCGTGGATTGAGCAGTGTTCATTTCTGAGTCGATCTGTCCGCAACAGAACTGATTTTACTTCGGTGATGGGGTTTAACATACAGAAGTTTTGGCTCCCCGTAATTCTTAAAGTTTGAGTGCGGCTTGCGTTACATTTGCAAGCTTAATCGCTACACCGAGTAGGTCACGATTGACGTCCCATTAGTTGGGGCCGTCTAATTGCCCGTTTCTAATCGACGTCGGCTTTGAGTATAGGACGTCGGATCTCATCAAAGCCGGCTCAAGTTGTTTTCTCTTAGTCTTACAATATGTCACAGATAGTGCTTGACATACTCGGTGCTGTGCCACAGGAGGTCGATGGAGGTTGTAACAAGCAAAATCAGCTACGCTCCTTAGTTTCCGATCCAGTAGATGGCTCTGCCAATTTTAAATGTCTGCTGTTCTTAGCAACGACCGTTACCTAACTTTCGCTCCTATCGGTTTGCTCTGTTGGAAGAAGCTATGCGTGCAATTACTCCGATCGGACTGGGAACCGCGTTAGAAGAATTTAATCCGCAAGTGTTATTGGAATAACGGTGGAAGGCCTGGTTTGCCCAATCCGCTGTTCTTACAAAAACCGCGGTAAATGTTTGTGCTCACCATTTCTCCAACCTTGGCTTGTGCTTGATCCTACTTCTGTGATAACTAGAACACATTTTTATCACTGGAATAGGCGTGCATTCAACGCAGAACCAGTAATAATCTGGTTTGCTGTTAAGCGTTTTGGCCCCGCTAGGTTATAATCTGCCGCATTGCGCAGGTGAAATCTTGCAACAGTTGGAACACGGAATACGCACTTTGACAGTTTGGATACATGAAGCTCATAGGTCTCTATCAATATGCACGCTGGGTGTAGCGCTTGCTGAGCGAATGTTACGATCTATTAAGCTGAAACCCTTGATAATCAGCGGTTATTTTCGTGTTCCTGACGTAGCTTAAAGGTAACGAGCTTGTGTTGTAATCTGACAACATAGATTCGAGCCTGCGTAGGGGCAGGGCGACCCTCGCAGTATCCTTAGCACGCGTGTGACCGGTAATCTTTGCGCGGCAACGAAGCGTCGGTACTGCGTACCGGCTTACTGCTGATGCCTTTCATTCTTTCCTTTCTTTCCTGACATGGAGAGCAATGTTACACGGTTCGTTTCGCTGTGGTGTAGCTTCGAGGTGTACTTACAATGTGTTTATTTGGCGAAATCGGTATCGGTATTCCAAAAATCCCTAAACGCCATTTTTGAGATTACATTCTTGCAGAGCGCTTCATAACTGAATAGGACGTTACATAAGTGTAATGTGTTGAACATGCGCGGCAGTCAGTGACGTTATTCCGCATGTATACCTACTAAGATTTCGGTGAAGCAACACCGATGTTTGTCTTTTATCTAGCTGATTTAAGTATTCAGTATTCATGAAAATGGTGTCTAGGGGGATGCCTCGTTACACAGCTATCGGATGCTCATGCCGATTGGATGTGGAAATGTCCTATGACACATGTCTGTATACTTTCAAGATCTGGACGTTTGTATCTTCAGAAAGCAGGACAATACCTCATTGCAGTCTTGCGTACAATGCTGGTCGCCGTTAACTTGTTCACTCTCCCCCCATCCTCACTATGCATCATACATTTGCTAGCAAATGGTTTATGGAGTAAGTATGCAGTATGCATTGCGGTAACTTAAATGCGTGAATGCGAGTGCAATTCTCTATGGTGTATCAATTGTTCGTACTGAAGTTCCTCTGAAGCTCCCATTCTCTACGAACCTTTTAACTTCAAACATAGTAGCATTTTACCATCATATTCTTGACTGATTTTTTCCATATAAAAGGATGACCTGAAGAGAGCGCACATCACATCGAGATCATCGTTTCAGTTTTAGGGCCTAGTTCGGGAGTTTTAGGGTGGCAATTAATATGATCGTCAAAATTCAGCTATTTTATCGAGAAGTTAGCACTTACAATCTTGTACTTAAAGTGCTTCATATCGTTGCTCTTCCCACATTACTTTTGTCCATGATGCTCATTGCCGGCCTCCACCATCACCTCCGACATTTCCATGCTTTTACAGATCAATCGCCTCTCATCTCATTTATCCACCAACATCTGTACCCAGTGTCCATCCTCTAACTCGCGTTTTATCAATGCCACCCAACTCCAACAGCCACAGGTTGAATTCACAATGTAGCAGCGTCCCAATGCAGTGCGCGGGCGTGGTTTATCACTACAAAAGATGGACGCGCACGATGCTGAGCGCTATTATACCATTGTAAGGCCACTGTGTGACTCCAGTGACTCTGTCAACTGTTGTTACAGTGCGCCCTATCTATGCTTCACACGGCAATCTACGCTACATTCACACCGTTGTTGTCCTGCGTCCGTGTTGTTCACCAAGCACCCTTGTTTATGCAGGACTCGTTACCGTCTTGCATACATTTACCTCAGCATGTCAGCGTTTTGTGAAAGTTGTATGGTAAAAGTTGGGGATAGTTTGCGGAGCGAAACCCATTCAAACACCATTCACATTGTAGTCTATCAACGAAGTATATGATGTATCAACTCTTACTGCTTCCACTGCACGCTTTTCGTACTACACATTATGATCACTCTTGCGTGTGAGAATACAAACAATTCCTCACGTCGACAATTGACAGGTGTACTGTTCTGCGCAGAGCAAAGACTGCTTCGCGTACCAACTTTTTCGTTTAGCCCATTGAACATGAAACACAGGATTGTGTGTTCTGCCTTCTGGATACATGTGACACCAGCTCACCCCTGCTCACACCATCGGGATTTTTAATCTTTTGCGATTAGTGCCTTTATCGGACGCGGAGATTACCATTCGGGGCTTAAGGGAAGCTTTTATCTCGTAAACCAGTTTCTATGTGGTAGGTCCGCTACCACAAGGAAGTAGTTTATGACGGATATAAACAATCGATTAGGAGGATAAAGTCGTGAGTATTTTCTCCCGCTGAATCTGCTCAAGTAACTCACTGAAAAACCTTCCCTCACGCCTTTGAATAATACGATTTGTTTGCTGATGAGTGGTGGGTATTTGGGTGTAATTTTAGACGTAGTTCATCGCAGTCCTCTGTCAATCAGGCAGGCTCTCATGCGCCTAGAGGTGTACCAGACGGGCGTTTCGACATTCTGGGTCTCGTCACTACTGCGCGTTCCTCGGACCGCCGCCGCGTTACAACCCCGTGACTTCCGGACTCCAGCGGTTTGTGCCACTAATCCATGGATGATAGCCATGGACCTGCATGACTGACAGTTGACTACGGTTTAGCACGCCTTATCCTCCACTGCCATGCCAGTTACGTACTGTGCAGAGGACTGGTTGGCCCCAAAACTACGACTTTCCGCATAGCGACTGTGTACGACGTAGCACTTAGAAACAATACAGATGGATTTGTGCTTACTAAAAGCTTAGTGGTGCAAGCTGCTGGCACCCAGTAGTCACGCAGTCAGAACCTGGCACGGGTCCGAGGAACGCGCGCCACTGACGAGACCCAGCGGGTCGAAACGCCCATCTGGTGCATCTACAGACGTATGCGCATGTGCATGACTGAGAGAGGACTGTACCTAAAATAATCGGATTTGTGCTGAGACCTCCGTTTTGAATGTGAATATATAAAGATTTCACCTTATTTCTAGGTTGCTATGCCTTTATTAGGTTTTTCGAACACGGACCTGTGCAAATATGTCTCCGAGTAGCCTCAGTACTTTTATCTCTGGGCAACAAACAGCTATGCAAGCCAGGCTATGCCGATGTTTCCAGTAGCTTTTCTCCTAAGTACACGCTTCTCTGCTCATACAAACTTAGAGTTTGCAAGCGTTCATTCTAATCACGAGGTCCCAACTGTCTTTGTGACTGTCCACCGGTTGTCATCGGCCAACTTAACGGCAGATTTCGGGTGAAATATACAATCGAGTTTCATTTAGATAGCTTGCAGACGTCGTGAAATGTAGTGTGCTAGACGAAAAGATCTTAATGGAAGGCTAAATGCATGTCCACAGCTTCTCGTCTCGTTGGCTATAATCAGTCAGGCAGTAGGCTGTCGTGCACTGTCATTGGTGTATTACCGAATGCCTAGAGCAGATGCCAGGACGTAAGATCAGACACTTTTACCTGTTCTTCTCCTGGTTACTGCGCACCTTATCACTAATAACATGGTACAAACAATGACGAGTTATGGGACAGCAAATTCATTTGAACAGTGGCCTTATTCACAGTATATATACGCCATAACTTTACGCGACTGATAGCTCAATGCCACCACTACGTATACGCCAGCAAAGGAAATATGGAGTTTCTATTCATAATATGACACGCACATAGGGTTAATATGGTGTCAAGTAGTCTTATCAAATTCCTTACTGCCGCATACCTCCAACCATTGACCTCTTTCGTTACTCTTGATAGACGATCTTCGCGAGGATACGTCCCACTTCTCTGTTGCGGAGACTTTCACCTTCGCACACACACCAAATTCTCCACGTGATACCCCAGTTGCAAGGGAATTGAACACATTCCCTGTCCGACGTGATTTGATTCCGTGTTCACTCAATCCTCACTCGGTTTCCAACCGCTTGACAAAATCTCCCACTCTCTCCGAGGTGAATCGGCGGTCCACATGGCAGAGTCAACCTACTTCTGTTGAACCCAACGGGAAACCAGAACTTCATCTTGATGCTCTTTCGGATACATCATTGAAAACGCCGATCCATTCACGTGTCAGCTCAGCGGAGCATCGTACCACAAGTCCAAGTTCATCATCGCTTGAGAAAGATCTTGTTGAGACTAACGGGGCGCAAATCCAACCTGTTGGCACATCGAAGAACAGCAACGTCAGCAGCAGCAGCAAACTACGTGACCCTCGTCCCTATAAATGCGGTACATGCCAAATCGGATTCCGCGTCCCCGGTCATTTGCACAAACACTATCGCGCCAAATCTCATCTGGTAACTGTGCTGAACTCGCACAAACTGCCTCCAGACACAATTGATCACATACGCCACAGCCGAATTGGTGTGTCGCAGGTGATCAATCCAGACAATGGCCAATTGCGGTTGCGTTGCATTGAACGTTTAATGTCTGTCAAGCCCCCCAATACGTTAAATGCCGCTGGCTCTAACCATGAGTTGCCCCACAGAGCCAAGTAGCGGTTGTCCAACTAGCAGCTGCTTAAAGTCTCATGTATATAGTACACATGTACAGCAAGATCCCGTTAACTGTAGGTTGTGTTCCTGCACCGATAAATGTCTTGGACCACACTGAATGATTGTATTCGTTCATTTTTTGAACCACATGAGTCGTCTCACTGTATCCATCCTCTGACGTAACATTGTGAGTTTCGAGACGTCCGCATGCTAGTATGAGCCTTTCTGACGGTCATAAACGTTCCTTGGTGTGTATCAGATTGTGGACTTCGTACTGATCTACGACTGCCTGTTCTCTATTGTACATCGATCGCTATCTATCTAGTACATTTCGCTCTTCCGATATGTGGCGGATGACCTTAAGAGATGAACCTATCAGGCAGTACCGGTGACAATCACACAATTTGCAAATATGTAGTTGCTGGGTGCATTTCGAATAGTTGAATGCTGCTAGCCACTTCAGATGGATGTCAACGACAATTAATAACACAGCTCCGTATCCCGGGCTCGTTTATACTGTGCGAGAAAGCTGGCATGACTACCCTTTTGTTGTAGCCCTGTATTTAAGTGGAGAGCCTAGCTCATGTGTTTATTATACTTCATAAATGGGTTTTCAGAAAAGGAGTCTCGATCTTCGGGTACAAACAAGAAATGAAATAGCTGGTCGTGAGGGTGCTACGCTGCATAATCAAGCTACGTCATCATCAATAAACACTCGCTCAGTTATGGCTAGACGCACTCGATTGACCACATTGGAGTCTTCCAAACGATATCACCGTCAGTTCTGCGACTTACAGAGTGTTGCGCCCTATGCCTCTCTGAGCCATGTACTACGGTAAATTGACAGCAGTTACTAGTTGTCGAGGGGCTTGTGGCTGACCATGGTACAGCTTGAAACTAGAAACCAAGTGTGCTTACCACATTTACTCTCCTTCTTGGGTGAACTGCACATGAGTGTATTGGTGCCGCAGGGTACATACTACCACAACGTGACCGTGTTGAGCTAGCACATAGCTTGTCCATTGCACGTGCATACATACCTTCGCCCACAGCACTCAGTCTTCATGCGGTAGCAGCTTCTGTTCACTGGTAATGGGATGGTACTCGTCCATAGTCTGATCCCGGTATGCCTTATCCAAAGGGAAGGAAAATTCGGAAACCCACTAGTCGTAACACTTAATGCTAACAACTATCCATTGATTAGTGCTTTCCTTCATTTGTCCTCTTCGTTACTTTCAGTCTTCGGATTATTTGCCGAACATAACTGTTCGTTTAAGCATTTAACTACTCGCTGACATCTAATATGGTTTCCTTTATCCCCTCGTATCTGCCGGATCATTTTTACCTAGTGTAAATGTTTCACTTGTGCATGCCTTCCAGCTTTATGGGTGGGTCGTGTAGCTGCTAGATCTTCCGTGATATATCACCAATACAGCACAAAATCATAGATCAAGTGTTCAGTCCGATCCATCTGTTAAGCTTGGTTATTTTACACTTACTGTTGATAATCCTGGGGCAGATTGGGCCCGCTAGCATGTGTCTCTTCTGGCCTCTGCGTCTCCAGACGGATAATACGCTGGCGACTTGTTAGTTGTGGTGGCTTGTCCAATCATCTATTGGGAAAGAGCACGATTCCACGTACAGCTGACAGCAACTTTGGATTTTATTGGATGACACCGGTTGTACTGTGGTTAGGGGCCGTCGACTGGCTTGGAGCTCCGACTGAACGCCCGCACACGTGTGCGATACAACAAAGTTAACCCATTAATCGTAAAGGGCTGATTGCTCACGCAATAGACTTTGGGTGGAAGGGGACCGAATGTAGAAACTTAGTTTAGGGTGGGACTTTGACAACTAGCAAAGACAAATCAGTCACCAAACATTCGAAAACCGCTAAATGATCCTTTCACTCTACCCAGGCACATTGCCTTCAGTGATACCTGCACACAATTCCAAAGTGAAACAGTCGGGGCCACCCCGCATTCTCCCAACACTAATCGCCATCGTGTAGGTTGGTCGTGTTGGGACACACCGAAACTATGACCACGCCCATGAATTACACACATCTCTTGAGCCGTTGATTCTCGTGAAGCTGATATTTGCTTGTTGCTCATTGCTACACAATGGGAGGAACACGATTGTCAGTTTGAGCCTTCGTCTGTTTTGCCATTGTACTGAATTCGTGTCTATACCATTTCTCACTTGCTAACATCCTTAACGCAATCGCTTATATCCTTAGTGCGGAAGCTATCATTCTTAGTGCAGAAGCCATCATTCTTAGTGCAGAAGCTTTCCACCTTAATGCAAAGGCTATCATCCGATAATCACCGCACTTGCATCCCCGTAGCACTGCGTGGGCAGAGGCTACCAGCCAATAGAATTCGGTATAGCGCAGAGACTGGACACAGTTACGCGCAGAATACTCACGCTTTCGGAGGTGGGTATGAAAACTGTGAGACTGAACTGTTATGTCGCTAGTAGCGTGCACCATCGGCAGCAGCGGACTTGTGGACACCTTATCAACAATAGTCTCAGTTCCTACAGGAATGAACGTTAGCTGTTGGGCATCACTCACGTATAAGCCAGTCGCAGCCGAAAGACATGTTTAGTGTCACACCAACCACATCAGAACCGGTATGGGCTAGCTGCTACCAATGGAAATGGCACCTGCCAACTGCTTTTACAATTTTTGAGACGCATTCAATTCCCCATTCGGCTTCACCTCATCGACAGTGTTTCAGTGACTTGCAACGTTATCGCTACCAGGACATCTCCGCAATTGTGGGAGCATCAGGCATGCGACACACATGGTAGTACATTCGTGACTGTAAACGTAGCCTCGTTAACACAGTGCACAAATTCGCAAAACCTAGAATCTAAGTGATCATTATCTCGCGTGCGTATCAGCATAGGAGGTCGGGTTAGTAAACGGATCGACCTACGCATCTATAGTACTCTATATTCAGCAACTGAGCCTGAGGTCGTCGACATCGAGTTCTTTTGTCATCTGTCGCTCGTACGGATCGTTTGATTTGGAAAAGAAGGTGGAGTTATCCTCTCTTCTAACTAACGCCTCCAATGTGGACTTTTGGGTAGCCGACGAACTCACATCATCGTTTTCTTTTAATGCTGCTTAGGGAATAAGAAGCGATGCTGCCGCACATAGCCGTATTTTCTCGCCTTCCTATACTTACTTAGACATTGGGCAATTATCCGGCATCCTCTATGACAACTGTACTGGCCCAAATTTCCAATCACGTTCTTTTGATGCGAATATTATGATTTGCAATATGGGAGCTCTGCATCTGCTAGTAAACATTTTGCATTAAGAGAAATGGATAAGCGACTGACACCCGAGCTTTTGCCCAATAACGAGAAACGCAAGCACTTGTCTTGACCGTGATAAACGTGTACTTCTGCTGGTCGATTGTTTGGGTTCGCACAAAATATTCAGATAAGTGACTGAGTATGCACATGCTTTTAAGTGCCAACTCGCGCTATCCGTATTCATCCAGGAAGTCTTTTTGGGACTACTCACCAATTGCGCTTTAACAAACGCCATGGATGAGTTAAGCGCTAAATTGAGCACACCGATTGCAAAGTATCGAAAGCGATGGCTTTCCGCTGCCTTAACGCAGCCACATCCTCTTCGGTGGAGTATGGCACGAAGGTCAGTGGCCTTATAGGGCTGCATATGACTTGTCAGAAGGCCACTGTCGGTTTAGAAATGCGAATCACATACTTATCTCAGCACGACTATTGCGTTTGACTAGTCTGCGGAGACAGAGTGTACACCGATAGGAACTAGTGGAAGGCCGGTGGCCGAGTGGTCTGCACGTTTGCTTTGCAACCATAAGGTCACCGGTTCGAATCCGCGTAGGGGTGGGCGTCCTCGCGGTATACTCAGCCCACGCGCGACTGGTGGTGGTCGCGCGGCAGCCAAGCGCCGTTACGGCGTGCAGCTGACACATTATTATTATTATTTTATTATTAGTGGAAGGAGCATACCAAAGCTGCAAACGCCTGCATATCCATGTGGGCCATCTTCTCAAGTTGCAAACACTGGCTCTCATCATAACACATTTTGATTCCCAACTGCGTCGTTTTCCAGCTTCTGAACAACATCTTGCTAGGTCGCTTCGGAGCCGATGCAAGCCGAACAGACATTCGTGATCTATTCCTGCAACTGTGCGCCCACGACAATCTTTATATTAGCAGCACTGCTTTCCAGCACAAACGTCCACACCGCGTCACCTGGCGCCCACCGAATTTCTTAATGACCTGGACCCAACCTGACCATATTGCCATCAGCTACAGTTGTCGCACCTCAGTCCAAGACTGTCGGTCAACTTAGAGCACATGCCTAGATTCTGACCATGCTCTAGTGCGAGCAGGCTTGGCGCTCACTCTTCCCACTTCAAAGAAGCGCTTATCTTCTAATTTTCTCACCTGTAACTGGAACTCGCAGTCTGCGATTCAACAATATCATAACAAACTGGCCCACCAGTTCTCAGTGATGAATGAGGTTGGTGAACCGAACGCTGACTGGGATCGTCTTAAATGTGCCATGAAGAATGCCTTTGATGCCTGCTGTGCACCCGAGTTCAGACGTCGTAACTGTGAATGGATCTTTGAAGCACTGATCAGTTTGGTCGAAGTGCGTAAACGGGTTCCGATGGGCACTACTCTTCAGCGTACCCGTAACTCTCTAAAACGACTTCTGACAAGGAGTTTTCGAGTTGACCGGGAACGTTGGTGGGTTTCAAAGGCCCGTGAGATGGAGAAAGCCAGTGCTATTGGAAACACCGAGCTCTGTTCCAGCTCATCCGGAACACGGGTCCGAGAAAGCCATCAGTTAACGAGACAATAGCTGAGAAAGATGGACTGACGATCCACTCTCAGTGTCGTCGACTATCCCGTTGGACGGAACATTTTGAGGAGCAGTTCAGCAGGCCGGCTGCGACACTGCCGCTTACCGGATCATCTGCGCCTACGTGGGAACTAGATGTCACATCTCCCACTTTGGTAGAGATTCGAAATGAGCTTGCCGTGTTACAATGAAACAAGGCTCGGGGACCCGACGACGGTCCCCCATTTTTGCTGAAAGATGGTGGTGACTCTTTGTTGACTGAACTTGCTTCTCTTTTCAACATGCTTTGGGACACTGAAGAAGTGCCTTCAGCTAGGCGACTATCAGCTGTCGTGCTCATTTTTAAGAAGGATCAGCGTACTGTTATAACACTATACCCGCAATCGACCGGTTGATTCACGCCTGCTGGTAAATCTGCGCCCTTACGCCTTGACAAACCCAACAG